TAGTCGTGGCAATGCAATTTACAGCCTGTTAACCCTGGAATTAGCATTGAGCCTGGAGAGATACCGTCCAAATGTTGTCCTTCATCACTGCGGATCCTCAGATTTTAACAGATTTTAACCTTTGAGTAGGTCAAGGAAAACCATATCCTGGACCTCTCATGTTTGCATATATAACCTTGTGCATGACTGGACTGGAAAACAGGTTCTGTAATGACTGGCTCCAAGCTAGATAGCAGGAAATGCAATTACCCTTTCAAGAAACTGCATTTACAGACCCAATTGTAAATGGCTACATGTAGAATGACTTTGGTATAATTACATAAAAGTCCAGTGTGCAAATCATACTATGAATGTCAGGTGATTGACTTTAAAAATATATATTTTTATATATTTAAAGGCAATTTTTGAAGTGTAATCTGTTGAGATTTGTCTCATGCAAGCATAATGAAATCAAAATTAATTTTAGTGCATTATTTTAAAGACTTTTCTGTGAAATCCTTCACTAAAAAAATGTGTTCGAAACAATTTTCTCACAGAAATCGCAAGTAAATTTCACAAAGAATTACAAAGAAAAGGCAAGTGACATGATTAAATGTGAAATTTTGAAGTAGAAAAACATACTTTAATAATCTTTCTTTTATTTACTTAATTACAAAAAAAAAAAAAAATCTTTCTTAGTATTCTTGTCTTGTTTTCCAGTACAAATATCACAACATTCTTAAACCAAGACACATTTACATGAGAAACAAAGTAATTTACAATATTACATTTTTTTTCCCCCTGAAATAATGTAACAAAATAAAGTAAAAGTTTAAAACAAACAAACAAACAAAAAACGTTTAGACCACTTAACTTAATGATTGTTATCGGGATGTGAAGAGACTTTCTACCAGCATATAACAAAAAATGTTTCTGAAGACAATCACCTCCAATGTCTCCGTTGATGGAAGCTTCATTCTACTTCAACAGAACACCTCTTCAGTGACCATATCACCTGTCAAATCTCTTTTATGAACCATGACTAAATGCATTTGGCCAGGCTTTATAGCACAGCAAGCTAATGCTGAAAAAGCCACTTCAATGGAGCCATCAATTTAAGGATATAGACCACAGATAATATCAGGCAGGAAGAGAAACTTGGATCTTTCTTTTCTGACTGAGCTTGACTCTGGCATATGGTTTTAAAATCCACTAGATACTGCCTTTATTTCTTGGGACATTTTCGTACAGCCTGCAGGCTATAAGATTTTGTTGACCTGAGGAGCTGAACGGTGAGGGCAGCAGAGCTAAAGAAGAACTGGGACACGCTGGCAGACTTCAGACGCCGTCATCTACTTCTTGCCCAAACAGACAGACATAAAAAGCTTAGACTTGTGTGTCAAGAGCTCTGGAGCCACCAGAGTCAGATGAGGTGTGTGCAATAGCTTAATGCAAATTCAAGAGTTTATCCTGACATGGGAAAGCAGTGACTAAGACTAATTTAGGATCAGGAACATGGAAAGGAACCTTTTTTTTCAGTGAATGCTCAGTATAGCAGTGTGGGTTTGAGGAGATGCAGGTTAGATGATGTTTAGAAGTATATAGACAAATACTTAAAATCCAATCAAGCAACTTATCAATTATTGTTCAATAATGTAACTTAATTAATCATGTAACTTAATTATCAAAGATTATCAATAGGATTTTGAATTTTAAATCTTATTTATTTATTTATTTACTTGCTGTATTCAAAATCCAATTGATAATCTTTGATTAAGTTACATGATTATTGAATGGAAAGTATTCATTAACTTTGAGCCTATTTCATTATGAATGGAACTTAAATTAAAAAAATTATTATTTATTTATTTATGACTCTTAGCCTATTTAATTTGGATGGATCTTGATTAAATAAAATGCTATTCATTCATTCATTCATTCATTCTTATCGTTCCAAATGTCTGAATTGGGTTCATACATTTAGTTCCATATACATATATTCTTCATCTATTTTTTATTATCATTAAATATGTGTGTTATAGTCTCTTCCATAAAAGATTTGCTTGATGTGCTTGTTTGTGTCAGAATGGTTATGGGGCAGTTACACGTATGATTTTGCCCTGATCTAGGTTCAAGCTGAGGTAAACTGGGACAAACACCGCCGGCAGCTGAATCATCACAGACCATCAGTGCCTTAGACACACTTCAATCATACATTTTTGCTGTCACTTTAATATGCAGCGAGTTAATACACGAATGAGTGTTTGTGTGTGCATATGCATTAATGCATGCTAGCGAGTAATCAGCATAATTATTTCAGATGCATTGCGAGATCAACTTGATACACAATCTTTAGCTCTTTTAAAACCACAGATTGTGATCATTTATACTATTAAGGCTGGAAGGAAATTAAACTTCTCTGAAAAAAAAAGATGTTGGGATGGAGGTTTGACCAAATAATAGTCGGAAGGAATGAGGTAAGTGGCTGTTTATATGCAATTATCATTATGACTGGTGGGATTACGTGAATGCACATTTTGACATTCACTACCTCAGCTTTATAATCCAACAATTTTAACTTGACTTCTTGAAAACGCACAGATTAGATTTAATAACAGTATCAGAGCTAGAAGGAAATTAAACTTTCTGGGCAAGAATAAGCAAATAATTTCCTGACTTTTAATAAAATCTTTACACTATCTGGATAAATCTTGAGAAATTTATGAGCATCTGCAATGCATGCTTTTCCTTCTGAATAAAACATTACTTTTGCCCCTTGAAATTTATGACGGTACGCTGGAACGTTTCTAGACCTACCGGATAAACGGCTGAGGGAAGCTATAAACTGGACTGAAAAAAAACAACGTCAAGATATTCTTTAAGCTGTCTGTCACAGAAGAATAAACTGAGATTTATGTCAAAGCAAAAGAAACTCCTAGTACTGAGCTGAAAAATGGCCTTCAGCATCCCACAAACCTGTGTCACGGCTCATGTGATTTATGAGTTCGATGAGGTTTCGACTTTAGTGTGGGAAGCAGCTGCCAAAGTGTTTTGACAGCACTGAGACTAAATATTTGACCGGCCCCCCTCCAGAAAATACACCCCAGCCCTCAGAAGCCCACAGCACGGCAGGGAACATCCACCCGAGATGAGCTGATAGGACTGATCTATCTTATCCAAAATTGGGTGACAGGACGATGAGTTTGCGTTCCGCTTCATTTAGGGAGATTTGTCTGAAGAGGGCGAATAAAGCAGAGTAAACAGGGCTGCGGCGTGCATGGTGCTCGGTGAAGAAGAGAGAACATTTTGCAAAGAGAGAAGTGCTCATGGCCCTCACGTCTGGCAGCTGAACAGACAACATGACTGATTACATGAGGGGGGATTTTTTCAGCCTCTCCATGGAGAATAGTTTTAGTGAAGAGGGAATGACAGAGAGACGGTATGAAAGCACTGGCTCATATCACGATAGAGTCCAAGGATGCCAGACAACTGACATACGTAAAGAAAAAAAAAAGAGCAGTCGCTCCAAATTCATTGCAATGACTTGACGAGTTTTCTTTCCTGATGTTTTTCCTATAAGGATGATTTTACTGTTTACTATAAAAGCATGGTGGACATGTAGAGTGGTCTTTTATTTTATTAATATTATATTACCTTCAAGTTATATTTGGAGATTTGAAATACATTAAGTGCACATTCAATACAAGTGCAAATACAAATCATGCTAATATAGTAGCAGTTTTAAAAATGGTTATGTATGATTACATAATGTGCATTTAACCAGTACAGATGCTTAATGTGCATCTGTTTAGCATTTTTATCTTTCATATGCATAATTTCTCAGGCTTTAAATGTGTTGTGTTACTTGTTTTTGGGCACTTTTTGCCTCTTTTATACAGACAGGACAGTAGGAAACAAAGTGAGAGAGAAAGAGTGGGCCCAGATTGGAAAAGACCACAAACCGAGATTCAATGTCAGGTCATCCATGGTGCAACCGCACTGCATGTCAGAGTGTTGCCCACAAGGACAACTGATATTGTCCATTGATAAAAAGTAATATGTACAGTATATTTTACTATAAACCAAATGGATCACAACAATTCATAATAATTCCACCCGAAACAGGATGTTTGGGCGGGACTTACTGAACAGCGAAAATATATCCAATAGGCTTTAGTTACCACACATACATGAGCCATGATGTGGTAATTGCTAGTTGGCTGCAGGTGGTATTCGAGGCAGGGACATTTTCTTTTTTTTGGAATGCTCCAGCATATAGATGACTTCAAAGCTAACACACATGGACTAAAAGTCTCCTTTTTCTCCACTCCGTTCCTTTTTTAAATTAATCATTCATCTGAGCCTGAGAAGGTAGGTTTAGAACAAGAACATTTGCAAATAATTCAGATTAATAAACGTAATAGCGTTAGTATGATTAGTATGGTTAGTATACTGCAGCATAATAAATGTCCATGTTGGCAATAGTGTTGCTTTCGTCAACGTGACTAAAACTAGACTAAATGTCATCAGTTTTCATCGACTAAAACGACTAAATATCATCAGTTTTCATCGACTAAAACGACTAAATATCATCAGTTTTCGTCGACTAAAACTAGACTAAATGTCATCAGTTTTCGTCGACTAAAACTAGACTAAAATGCTCAGACTTTTAGTTGACTAAAACTTGACTAGACTAAAATGAGTATGAACGTGACTAAAACTAATAAAAACTAAAATGTCAGTTTCACACAAAGACTAGACTAAAACTAAAATTAAAACAGGCCGCCAAAAACAACACTAGTTGGCAACACCGATTGGTTTGTACTATTTAAGTGGAAGTGTCCTTTCGGCTCCCTTAAGATTCATCCTCTATGTTTCCCTCTTCTGTCTGACTAATCCACAAAAGGAAGGCAATTTATAATGAATTCATCATCTCTTATGTCCTGTAGTAAGGCAGGGGACGGTATTGATTATTACTGTGTAGGACACTCGCAGAGAAAGGTCAGCCTCCAATTGCACCAATGTTGCCCTGCAAACTGGAGATTGTCTTCTTGATTCAGAGCCGCCCCAGTGTGCTGGGAAGCCGTGTGCTTAACGGGTCCTGGGACAGATTAACTTCCCACTGCAATCAATCAATCTCCTTCTGTCAGCCATTTGCAAATCCACGGGGGGGAGGGGATGGGGCATCCTCAACAAAAGTGGCCTACCCACAATCCCTTGCTCTGCGAGGTCAAGGGCGAGACTTACTGGGTGACTATGAGTGCAGGGCCTCTCAGAGGTCTGACCTGCTCAGGTTTTCCATTCTGATGAGTGGGTTTGCCTCAGAAACTCTAATTGGCAAACAAATTGAACATAATGGCGCTTTTTCTTGCATAAACTTTGATTGTTAATCCAGAACATATGACCTCCTTTTTCAATGGCCCATAGTGCTTGGACTTAAAACATATATGTGGAATTCTTTTATGCTATTGTAGATTGCCATGCTTTGCTGCTAATTGATTTAGAAATCGTCTTTCTTGGAGTAAGTTTCAAACTGTTTTCTCTGTTTTATGATGGGACACTGTGTGCATTTGTGGCATCATTTCACAGTATTTGGTGAGTTTAGTTGTTCTCTTTAACCACTCATATTGCCTGTTATCCACAAACAGTACAGTAGACCTATTCCTTTTTTTTAAAGTTCTGAAAATATGCTGATTTGAGTGAAATCTACAATGTTCAAGTACACCGCCTGCAGTTATTATGGAAAATTTAACCTCATGAATTTGGATTATAAAATGCTGATGTAGTTTGCAACCTTCCAAGAGCATCGGATCACATAATCTTTGTAATAATCATAATAACTGAAAAGGAATATTTCAGCATTCAATTATAAGTAGGTTACAAAAGATCAATCTCCATAATTGGTGTTAAAATCAGGAATATTTAGAAAATCATTTGGAAGGTTTGAATTAGAATATGTATATATTTTATTAAACATGGGTAATTAAATGAATAAAAAAATATCCATTATGATTAAGTATTTTATCTATGACAATAAATATTGAAATGTGTTGAAATTCATTACCGAAACCAGTTATTCAATATTATTTTCACCAAAGTTTTGAAATCCAACATGTTATCATGTTTTTAAAATACATATTTATTATGAATAAATACATTTACATAATTATTTATAAGGAAATGACCATTAATTTAAGTTGAAATATATATATTTTTAAATTATGATGTATAAACTCCTATATAAATGTATTTTGTGTAGTCATGAAATCTTAGCCTTTTTTCTCCAATTATAATTTCAGTCTTTGTCTGTTTTTTTTTCTATTTGCTGTATAATAGAAGTCTTTCCTCCATATGTTATAAGGCATATGTTGTAACCTTAGTATGGATACTCCGCTTAAGCTCATTATGGGCAGCTGCCTCATAATATGCTGTATCTGTAGGTACATGTTCGCATCAATCAGCAAAATTCAAGTTAAATTAATTCAGATTCATGAATGCCTTTGTTGGGTTTAAGCATGTTCAAAGAGCTGACAACCTTTTACAAGGTTAGAGCAGATAAGACAGACACCCACACGGGGGAATTTGCAGCACATTATGCAAATAGATGCATTAAAGTGAGTGGCTTACACTGTACAGACATGATATGGAGCCAGTTAATGTCATTTAGTTCCTTTAGGACAGACGCATTACCTTATCTGCTTTAATTGGCATTAATCACATTTACAGTTTGCATGCAAAGCCGATAGTTTCTTAAGTGAATGTTTTTGAGTTGAGGAACCAGAGCATTTTGTTCATGCTTGAAGATGTAGAAACGGACATGTCAGACGACAGAATATTAAATATAGCTGTTAATAGCGGAGTTAAATCAGTAATCATTCATTTAAGCCAGGGTTCCTCAAATCTAAAAGCGCTGCAGAATTTAGCACCAACCCTGATCAAACTCACCTACCTGTGATTTTTCAATGATCCTGAAGACATTGATTAGCATGCTCAGGTGTATTTGATTAGGGTAGAACTAAACTCTGCAGAAAAGTGGATCTCGTGGGCCAGATTTGAGAATCCCTGATTTAAGTGATAGTTGTTATGTACCCATCCTCAATTTGAGCACAATTCTTCAGCACAATGATGA